GCGTAACGCGTAAGGGGTGGGGGCTGCGGTTGTCACTCGGAGAGAGACGGAGTGTTTTTACAGACGGCGATTGTGCAATGGCTAGACGGGCTGGCGGATTACTTGAGCACTGAAGCAATTTCACTCCTATAACCGCATTACTATTTTATGTGAGTGTACCTGTTGGGAGAGCAATAATGCAAAACCTTTTTATAAGGATATAAACACATATGTTTGGCAATTTGGCACCCACATATGGAAAAAAACGCCATATGGGGCTAATTTGAGGATAACGGATATCCACGTTTTTACCAATCTGTAAAGGAGGAATTTCCATTTCTAAGCAGGTTCCAATAGGAGGTGATAACCACAAGTGTGTGAATAGCCTAATTGCTAGGCCCAATAAGGGAGGTGAGCGTACAAACTAATCTTCACTAATTAAGGATTCAAAGAGAGTCACGGATTTCCACAATAAGTCACCAAATCAAGATTTAATCAAGCACAAAGTCACTGTATTTAAAGGACATTAATATCACAAATTTAATTTGCAGGAGTACATATATATATTTCCTAAGTTATTCCCCCGTAATATTTCGCGCGCGCGGCGTCTCTGATATTTCACCAATCATGATTGCATATTGATTTATTTATATTTATGTTTTAGTAACACAAATATCTCCTTTCCCCTCCCGCCACCTCCACCCCCACCTCCCTCTCTCTCTGTGCGCGCACTGGGAGATATCCCTATGTCCACAATTTATATTTTTATCAGGTGGATTATCATATATATATAAGTTTTTAATAGAGTATATATTTTTTTTTATTTTTTTTTATTCTGTATATTTTTGGTAAAATCACCTTGATTATATATTTGTTCTACCAAGGGTTAAATAGAGTTATTAATATATACAGATTTTCTCACTGGGAGCGCAGAAACACAATATGAATTATGACGTCAGGATTGGCTCTTGTCAAGTCGAAGGTCTGTGTAGGTTGGGGATTTAGGGGTGCTTGGGTCCGAAAAACATGGTGCGGAATGGTCGTTGACTTTCAGAAGGTCTTCATCGCTCTTTGTATCAGTAAGAATTCTGTTGTCTCCTGAGTATGCGGCGGATCACTAGATTATGTGATGGTTCCAATTATCGCTGTTCTATCATTATTGATCTTCCTGACAAATCGTCCGTTTCTGTGAGCATGTTTGGGTGCCCAAATCCGTGTGATTATTTAGCATGAGGGCAGAAAACCGGGCCGAAATTTCTTGGGCTTGTAACCCTTCAATACCGGACACTTTCACCCCCTTCCTGCCCGGCACAATTTTCAGCTTTCAGCGTTTGTTGTAGTCTGAACATTTTTCGGTCAGGCAAACATTGTACCCAGAGAACATTTTTATCGTTTTTTGTTTTTTATGGACTGCGCTTTCTTTTGGTGGTATTTATTCACCATTAGTGTGTTTTTTGGGGGGGGGGGGGGGGGGGGGGGGGCCAGTGTCGGGCTGAGGGCCCAGGGGCATGGAGTGCTCCGGTTCCTTGCTTTTATAGTGTTTTGAAGCTAAAGGAGGTGCTTGCTAAAGGCGTTCTACTGGTCATCACAGGGTCCGAGATTAAAATAATTGCAGGGCCACATGGACAGTTGTCGTTGTACATCCTGAAACCAAGGTGGAGACTAGGCGCCTTGCAGCGCCTCCAGGTGGAGCTAGGCGCCTGCAGCGCTCCAGGTGGAGCTAGGCGCCTGCAGCGGCCACTCCAGGTGGGAGCTAGGCGCCTGCAGCGCCTCCAGGTGGAGCTAGGCGCTGCAGCGCCTCCAGGTGGAGCTAGGCGCCTGCAGCGCCTCCAGGTGGAGCTAGGCGCCTGCAGCGCCTCCAGGTGGAGCTAGGCGCCCTGCAGCGCCTCCAGGTGGAGCTAGGCGCCTGCAGCGCCTCCAGGTGGAAATATATGCTTTGCCTGAGGACCACCTCCTGCACTTCTCTGCTTCTTCTCTTCCAGGACATTAGAAAGCCCTGCTGGACCATCTGAGCTGAAGATTCCTCAAGTCACACGAAGTGGATGCTGAATCCCAAGTATCTGGGAAAGATTTTTTGCCCAGTGAGGGCGTGGGTTGGGTTCCAAAGGTGGCTGTCCATAGCATCCAGGGGCAAGTGCCAAAATGCCCCCCCCTTATTTTTCACGGCACTTCCGGTCCTGGCCACCTAGGTGATTGCATCATCGGGCTATCCCATGGATTCCTGGGATATCGGTGTCATCGATACCCAGGAGTCTTTGGGCATCTTAAGCATCTAATATCGCGGTATTAACGCTCATGCCTGAGACAGCTAAGTGCATGCTGGGTAGCCAGCTGCACCATAATTCAGGAAATGCATAGGGGCGAGCTTCAGATGCCCATATCTGCAATGGCAGCTGCCAGAATACCGGGAGGAGATGTATCATGAAAGATTTGACGGGTACATACTGTGCGGGCGGGTGTAGGAATATCCAATTAGATGCTGCAAGTCGCAGGAATCCTGACGATTGGTTACAATTCGGGGTGGGGGACTGTAGCTTCTCCTCAAGGTTCTTGTATCAGCGTTGTCGGCACGGATCATTCCTGGTCTAGGGAACTTCTGAAAGGTTTTGGGGACTTTCCTGAAGGCGACCAACATTTGGGGACCCCCTATCCATCCACCCTTTCTTCCCTAGTCGGGACATTCTACAAGTACTGAAAAGGTTGTTGGAATCTCCTTTGTATGCCGAGTTGGACAGTTCTGATACTGTGATGGACTGCCTGACACCCCAACTGGGTCTCTCTGCCCAACTACAGCTTCCTCCACTCTGGAACCAGAATACAGCAAATGTATCTCAAGCATCAGACAGAACCCATGTTGGAGTAAAACAAGGACTTTAACAAACAGCACGGCATTTCTACCCAAGACCTTCCCCTGGGGGAGGTATGGCCACATTACAAGTCCCAGGAGAAAATGACCAACACAAGAAAACAAGGGATTCCTTCCTGGCATCTAGGAGTCTGGACTCTGGAGGTGATTAAACAAAGTGAGAGCGTATCACCTAATTACAGCAAATAGTAGCTGGATGCCAGGAAACCTGGAACCGAAAATAGTTTTCTTATCCCCACATCTGCTGGACTTCACCCCCGGGACCTAGTTCCACCATGCCAAGGGTTCCAAGAAGCCGTCCCTCCAGCCTTAATGGCATGGTAAGGGTAGCGGGGAATATTTCATGGCCAGTCAAGTACCCCGGGAAGAGGTTCCTGTCCTTAGTCCTGGGTCCATAGTGAGTGAGAAGGAGGCTGGCCCGCGGGCCCCTCCAGGACCCCAAGTCACGGTGGTTTCCATGACAGATACGGCACTCTGAAATAGTCTTCCTTACGGCAGTGGTTTAGCAAGGCGTGTCTCTAGTAAGGAGCCGTATTGCACCTCTTTTCCCGTGTTTGAGGCCTCCTCTGACCTCCTCCTGAAGGTTTAATTGGGATTCCATTCTTCCGGCACCTTCATCCAGTTCAGAGGAGCCATGTTGGAGCACTTGAGATTTCCAGGCTCTCATGCAGACTTTGTACTACTTAGGGGTCCTATGATGGGCTCTTCCGCTCCTCCAACCCCCCCCCCCCCCCCCCAGAGATCTCATCCCGGATAGTGCAGACAGTGGACGCCTTCATCCTCTGGCCGGTTGGTGGGCACCTTTGGTTGTGTCTTCAGCTCTCGGGTGTCACCATTTGTGTAGCAGTAGGTGGTGGTTGGTGTGGTTCCCTTCCCTGGGACAACGGAGGATTGCTCCCAGTACTTACCGCCCTCTTCCTTTCCTGGCTCTGCCCACTGCTGCCACAGATCCCTCCCCTGAGCTGTATCGAGGCCTAAGGGAACGCCTTTTTATTTGTAACGATTAAAGGATGACTTAATGGGGTCAAGGGGCGGAGCTGACCTATTGAGGCAGAGCCAGTAAAGGTAATGTATGGTCAGTATTGGTGGCAATCTTCCTGCTCTATCAGTGCGGGTGGTGGGGGAGGTGCGGGCGATATGGGGGGTGCGGGCGATGGTGGGGGAGGTGCGGGCGATATGGGGGTGCGGGCGATATGGGGGGTGGGGGGTGCGGTGCGGGGGGCGATACATGGGCAGGAGATGAGTCTATCTACAATAATGTTTCCTCCTTCTCCATCTTCCGTCCTCAGAGCTCCCAACAGGCCGATGTACCCAGGAGAGCCGATATGAAGGGGTGAGTGACACCGAGGGAGGGGTATACACCGTCTGCTGTGGGGAAGAGGGGGGGGGGGGGGGGTATGCAGCGTCTGCTCTGGGGGGGGGAGGGTATACACCGTCTGCTGTGGGTAAGAGGGGGTGGGGGGGGTATGCAGCGTCTGCTCTGGGGGGGGGTGGGGGGAGGGTATGCAGTGTCTGCTGTGAGGAAGAGGGGGGTATGCAGCGTCTGCTCTGGGGGGGAAGGGTATGCAGCGTCTGCTCTGGGGGGGGGGGGGGGGGGGGGGGGGGGGGGGGGGGGGGGGTATACACCGTATACACCGTCTGCTGTGGGGTAAGAGGGGGTGGGGGGGGGGGTATGCAGCGTCTGCTCTGGGGGGGGAAGGGTATGCAGCGTCTGCTGTGGGGAAGAGGGGGGTGGGGGGGGGGGGTATGCAGCGTCTGCGCTCGGGGGGGGGGGGAAGGGTATGCAGCGTCTGCGCTCTGGGGGGGGGGAAGGGTATGCAGCGGGGGGGGGGAAGGGTATGCAGCGTCTGGGGGGGGGGGGGAGAAGGGTATGCAGCGTCTGCGCTCTGGGGGGGGGGGTAGGGTATGCAGCGTCTGTGCTCTCTGGGGGGGGGGGGGGGGGGGGAGAAGGGTATGCAGCGTCTGCGCTCTGGGGGGGGGGGGGGGGGGGGGGGAGGGTATGCAGCGTCTCTGGGGGGGGGGGGAGAAGGGTATGCGTAGTAGGCGTCTGCGCTCTGGGGGGGGGGGGAGGGTATGCAGCGTCTGCTCTGGGGGGGGGGGGGGGTGGTATACAATGCTCCCAGACATGCTGAACTTTCTCTCTCCTTTCCTTCCAGGCAGCAGAAGGCGGCAGAAATGGAAGAAGGGACGGTCCGCATCCAGGAAGGTGAGCAATGCTTGGTGGGGGCTGGTCTCATGTGGGGCCCCTCCTAGTGTAAGGGCACAGTTTATAGTACAGAGGCTGGGTGTGGGGCCCCTCCTGGCGTAAGGGCGCGGTTATGGTGCGGGGCCCCTCCTGGCGTAAGGGTCCGGCCCCTCCTGGCGTAAGGGCGCGGTTACGGCGCGGGGCCCCTCCTGGCGTAAGGGCGCGGTTACGGTCCTGGCGTAAGGGCGCGGTTACGGCGCGGGGCCCCTCCTGGCGTAAGGGCGCGGTTACGGCGCGGGGCCCCTCCTGGCGTAATTGCACGGGCCCCATGGGGTCCTTTCCATCTCTCATGTTTGTGTCTCACAAGGAGCAGTGGCGACAGGTGAAGACCCCACTAGCGTTGCTATAGCCAGTATCCAATCAGCTGCCACCTTCTCTGATCCCGCGGTGAAGTATGTGTTCCGTGCAGACAGCGGAGGCACCCAGGTAGGTGATTGGTTGTATTTGGGGTCCGTTGTGATGTCATGGGGGAGGTCTGATTGGAGGCGTGTCTCCGGCAGGTGATGTACAGGGTCATCCAGGTCGCGGAGGGGCAGTTGGACGGACAGACGGAAGGAGCCGGAGCCATTAGCGGGGTTCCCAGCGGCACAATCTATGACTCAGGTACGTGTCATCATCTGTATGATCTGCCCCATGCATTCCTGTGTGCGAAGGCTCAGATGGAAGCTACTATGGCTGTTCTCTGCACCCTCCAGGCGGTCATCCAAGGTGCGTTCACCAGTGATGAGGCCGCAGACACCGACACCTCCACCACAGAGACGCATTACACCTACTTCCCCACTACAGCGGTGGCCGACACCAGCACAACGGTGGGCACGGGAGCCACGGCAACCACAGTGGTGACAACGCAGAACAGCGAGGCTCTGCTGGGACAAGCAGCCTCCACAGGTCCTGACCCCACCAGGCTCCTTCCCCAGTGTGGTCAGTGTGAATCCACCACTTACCTCTCCTCTCTTCCACAGGTCAGTTCTTTGTCATGATGTCTCCTCAGGAGGTTCTCCAGGGAGGTGCCCAGCGCTCCATCGCCCCCCCAGGACCCATCCCTACTCGCCGTAAGTCCCCCATTCCTGTGCTGCTGATCCCTGATAGGTGGAGCTCAGTGATATAATGTGTCTCCTCCCCCCTCCAGGAAATCGGAGGGTCCGCGCACCACGCGGGATGAGAAGAGGAGAGCTCAGCACAATGAAGGTACAACACTGGAGGTGGGAGTGAGACCACCAGTTAGCCTGGGTAGTGAATGGGGGGATCTGCCTCGCCCAGTTCTGCCCGGGAGGGGGGGGGATCTGCCTCGCCCAGTTCTGCCCGTGGAGGGGGGGGGGGGGGGATCTGCCTCGCCCAGTCGTTCTGTTCTGCCCGCTGCCTCGCCCAGTTCTGGAGGGGGGGGGGGCCCTGATCTGCCTCGCCGCCCAGTTCTGCCCGTGGAGGGGGGGGGATCTGCCTCGCCCAGTTCTGCCCGTGGGGGGGGGGGGGATCTGCCTCGCCCTAAGTTCTGCCCGTGGAGGGGGGGGGGGATCTGCCTCGCCCAGTTCTGCCCGTGGAGGGGGGGGGGATCTGCCTCGCCCAGTTCTGCCCGTGGGGTCTGCCTCGCCCTGTTCTGGGGGGGGGGGATCTGCCTCGCCCAGTTCTGCCCGTGGAGGGGGGGGGGGGGGGGATCTGCCTCGCCCAGTTCTGCCCAGGGGGGGGGGGGATCTGCCTCGCCCAGTTCTGCCCGTGGGGGGGGGGGGAATCTGCCTCGCCCAGTTCTGCCCGTGGGGGGGGGGGGGGGATCTGCCTCGCCCAGTTCTGCCCGTGGAGGGGGGGGGGGGGGATCTGCCTCGCCCAGTTCTGCCCGTGGAGGGGGGGGGGGGGGATCTGCCTCGCCCAGTTCTGCCCGTGGGAGGGGGGGGGGGGGGGGGGATCTGCCTCGCCCAGTTCTGCCCGGGGAGAACTGCCCGTGGGGGGGGGGGGGGGGGGTTCTGCCCCGTGGTGAAGGGGGGGGCCTGCGCCCAGTTCTGCCCGTGGAGGGGGGGGGGGGGGATCTGCCTCGCCCAGTTCTGCCCGTGGAGGGGGGGGGGGGGGGGGGGGGATCTGCCTCGCCCAGTTCTGCCCGTGGAGGGGGGGGGGGGGATCTGCCTCGCCCAGTTCTGCCCGTGGGGGGGGGGGGGGGGATCTGCCTCGCCCAGTTCTGCCCGTGGAGGGGGGGGATCTGCCTCGCCCAGTTCTGCCCGTGGGGGGGGGGATCTGCCTCGCCCAGTTCTGCCCGTGGAGGGGGGGGGGGATCTGCCTCGCCTTTCTCTGCCCAGTGGGGGGGGGGGGGGGGGGGGGGGGGTGTCTGCTCGCCCAGTTCTGCCCGTGGGGGGGGGGGGGGGGATCTGCCTCGCCCAGTTCTGCCCGTGGAGGGGGGGATCTGCCTCGCCCAGTTCTGCCCGTGGAGGGGGGGATCTGCCTCGCCCAGTTCTGCCCGGGGGGGGGATCTGCCTCGCCCAGTTCTGCCCGTGGAGGGGGGGGATCTGCCTCGCCCAGTTCTGCCCGTGGAGGGGGGGATCTGCCTCGCCCAGTTCTGCCCGTGGAGGGGGGGATCTGCCTCGCCCAGTTCTGCCCGTGGAGGGGGGGGGGATCTGCCTCGCCCCAGTTCTGCCCGTGGAGGGGGGGATCTGCCTTCTGCCCCGTCGCCCAGCCCAGTTCTGCCCGTGGAGGGGGGGTCGGCCTCGCCCAGTTCTGCCCGTGGAGGGGGGGGTCTGCCTCGCCCAGTTCTGCCCTGGGGGGGGGGTGCTGTCTCGTCCAGTTCTGCCCGTGTGGGACATTGTCCTCCTCCATTCATAGACTCCCTTTGCACTCCTCCCCCTCTCATATCCAATCACAATCTCGCTGTCATTGGGGGTAGAGGCAGCACATTGGGAGGTGACCCCCCATGTTGGTGGATGACATTGATTTGGTGATTTCTGTCCTCTTAGTGGAACGTCGCCGGAGGGACAAGATCAATAACTGGATCGTTCAGCTGTCCAAGATCATCCCAGATTGTTCCATGGAGAACACCAAGTCCGGGGCAGGTATGGAGGGGACACAGAGCGGCCTGTGATGGGCGGTACCATCACCTTGGTGGGGGGGTCATCTGGATTAGGTTTAGGGCCCCTCTCAGACGGGGGGGATCTCTTCGCTGAGCAGGTGGATGACGGGTCTGTGTCCGTTCTGCTGCCGCAGAGCACATACTGCCCACTTCCTTCTATGTGATGGAAACGGACTGCCTGTCTGATTCCACTCGACTGTCATCCGATCTTCTGGTTCTGGTGTACCGGATCGGTTCAGAAGCTGGCACACCCGCCGGTCCATAGAGTTCTATGGATGGTCTGATCAGGTCTGTCTGAAAAAAGATAAACCCGATTGGACCATCAGTGTGAAAGGGGCCTTATTGTTGTGGAGCGTCGGCCGCTCCGTGTCCTGGTTGTTGTGGTGGGGGGGAGCGTCGGCCGCTCCGTGTCTAGGTTGGGGGGGAGGGAGGGAGGGAATGAGAGAGAGAGCGTCAGCCGCTCCGTGTCCTGTGAGGGAGGGAGGGCGTCAGCCGCTCCGTGTCCTGTGAGGGAGGGAGGGCGTCAGCCGCTCCGTGTCCTGTGAGGGAGGGAGGGCGTCAGCCGCTCGGTGTCCTGTGAGGGAGGGAGGGCGTCAGCCGCTCGGTGTCCTGTGAGGGAGGGAGGGGCGTCAGCCGCTCGGTGTCCTGTGAGGGAGGGAGGGCGTCAGCCGCTCGGTGTCCTGGGAGGGAGGGAGGGCGTCAGCCGCTCGGTGTCCTGGGAGGGAGGGAGGGAGGGCGTCAGCCGCTCTCGGTGTCCTGGGAGGGAGGGAGGGCGGTCAGCCGCTCTCGTGTCCTGGGAGGGAGGGAGGGCGTCAGCCGCTCGGTGTCCTGGGAGGGGCGGGGCGGGAGGGCGTCAGCCGCTCGGTGTCCTGGGCGGGGCGGGGCGGGGGGCGTCAGCCGCTCGGTGTCCTGGGAGGGCGTCAGCCGCTCGGTGTCCCTGGGAGGGCGTCAGCCGCTCGGTGTCCTGGGAGGGCGTCAGCCGCTCGGTGGGTCCTGGGAGGGCGTCAGCCGCTCGGTGTCCTGGGAGGGCGTCAGCCGCTCGGTGTCCTGGGAGGGCGGGAGGGCGTCAGCCGCTCGGTGTCCTCCTGGGAGGGCGTCAGCCGCTCGGTGTCCTGGGAGGGGTCAGCCGCTCGGTGTCCTGGGAGGGCGTCAGCCGCTCGGTGTCCTAGTTGTGGGAATTGTGATTGAACGTAGATGAGACATCGTTTTAGGGTCAGAATCAGACTTCCAAAGCGCCGGGCCCGTGTGACTGACCTCTGTCTCCTTGCAGAGTAAAGGCGGTATCCTTTCCAAAGCATGCGATTATATCCAGGAGCTGCGACAGGGTAACATGCGTCTGGCTGAGGAGCTGCAGAGCTTGGAGCAGCTGCAGGTGGATAATGAACTCCTACGACAGCAAGTGAGTGTCGGGCAAAGGCTGGGGATGAGGGGGAAGGTTGCCCAATGGCTGTTGGTGTCAGTAGAAAACTTTGGCCACTGCAGTCTGGGGTGAGCCGGCAGGTGATGTCGGTAAGCCTGGGTTCACATGGGGGGGGGAGAGTGTATAGTGGTAGATGGGCAAGGCAGTTTCCCCTCTGGGAGGGGAAATGTGTTAGACGTGTGAGGTGGTTGGCCCCTGGGGCGGGGCAGTGGCACATGTGTGGGGTTGTCCATGGCAGTGGGATGGTAGAGGTGGGGGGTTGGCCATTTGGGGAATGCTGGAGATCTTGGTAGATGGGTGAGGCTGGCCATGGGGGTGGGTGGGATGGTAGATGGGCGAGGTTGGCTGGGATGGTATGAGATGGGCGAGGTTGGCTGGGATGGTAGATGGGCGAGATTGGCTGGGATGGTAGATGGGCGAGGTTGGCCATTGGTGGGTGGGATGGTAGATGGGGGAGGGATGGTAGATGGGGGAGGTTGGCCATTTGGGGGGGATGTTTGTGTTCTTGGTAGATGGGCGAGGTTGGCTGGGATGGTAGATGGGCGAGGTTGGCTGGGATGGTAGATGGGCGAGGTTGGCTGGGATGGTAGATGGGCGAGGTTGGCCATTGGTGGGTGGGATGGTAGATGGGGGTTGGGGGTGGGTGGTAGATGGGGGAGGTTGGCCATTTGGGGGGGATGTTTGTGTTCTTGGTAGATGGGTGAGGTTGGGGGTGGGATGGTAGATGGGGGAGGTTGGCCATTGGTGGGTGGGATGGTAGATGGGGGAGGTTGGCCATTTGTGGGTGGGATGGTAGATGGAAGAGGTTGGCCATTTGGGGGAGATGTTTGTGTTCTTGGTAGATGGGTGAGGTTGGGGTGGGATGGTAGATGGGATTTGGGGGGTGGGATGGTAGATGGGTGAGGTTTGCCCTTTGGGGGTGGGATGGTAGATGGGTGAGGTTGGCCATTTGGGGGGGGGGGGGGGGGGGGGGCTGGGTGGGACCTGCACGTCCGATCCTAACATGCTTCTCGCTCTCCCCCCCCCCCCCCCCCCCCCCCCCCCCCCCCCCCCCCCCCAGGTGGAGGATCTGAAGAACAAGAACCACATTCTTCGGGCTCAGCTCCGGCATCACGGGGTGGAAATCATCATCAAGAACGACACGCGCTGATGGCGGCTGCAGACATTGAAGGGACAATGGACCAAGAATTCTCTCATCGCTCACACAGGATCCTCTTCATCGTTTTCCTGCGCCCCCCCCCACGCTTCCCTTAGTGCGCCCCCTCCATGTGTATATATCCCGCTCAGCGCCACGTCTGGAGGCAGTGGGGAGCCGGATAATAAGTGCAGGAAGATTTGTGGAAATGTATATTCTGCCCCCCCCCCCCCCCCCCCCCCCCCCCCCCCCCCCCCCCAACCGCTCCCCACATTTCCTTTTTTATTGTACAGTCCGGGCCGTGATTCTGTTATCCGTGGAGCGATCGGCTGCCCAGAACTGGCGTTTGTATTGTGATGGGATGCTGCGCTTGGGTCTGGTCCCTCCTTCACATGAGCTCCTTGGACTTACTGCAGCTCAAGGGCCCCAAACCGCTAGACTTCAGGGGTCCAATGGCTGCTTAAGCTCCTCCCTTGCAGTACAGAGGGGGATCCAGGCACGGCAGAGACTGCGGCTCCCTTTTTACTGCTCTGTATGAATTGTTGGTTTTGCTTCCTAATTTTATTCATCTAGAACTTCTAGTTTGGTTAGTTTGCTGTATCATTCAGGCAGAAGTCAGTCCCGGCCGCATATTACTCAGCGGATCTTCTGTGGAGGGACAAAGCGACGGACGAGAGGACACAGACCGACTTTTATTGTATAGAATCTCCACCATGAATTGTTTGTATACTGGAAGGGGGGAGGGGGGGTTTCTAATACACAATATCATACAGATGTCTCCACTAACAATGGAATATAGACTGTCAACACGCTGCTGTCCTGTGTATAGTAATTGGGGGGAGGGGTGGGCCATGTCTGGTGTGTGCGTGTGCGTGTGCGTGTAATCCTCATGGAGCTATACACGGCTTGGCCTTAGCTCCTTAGTCAGTCTATGGGTACACTGGAGGGGAGGGGCCAGGGGCTGTCCTTAAGTCTGTAGGTACACTGGGGGTGTGGCCATGAGCTGTCCATCTATTGGATGAGGGTTAGGTTGGTGTATGGATACACCGGTCCGATTTGTCGTGCCATTGGACCGATTCAAATCACATGACAAGTTGCACCTTATTGTAGTCAATGGAAATGTTCAGATCTGTGTGACGCCGACTTTGCGGTGTGGACTGATTTGGGGGGGGGGGAACCGGTTCCTGCGCTATGGTTTGACTTCCATAGACGTCTCTGCATTGCACTGCACCGATGTCACATGACTCCAAAGCCGCATTCAGTGAGAAGCTCCGCGAAATCTAGAATTGGTTGGTGAGGTTTCCTCATTTGGCACCTCATTGATGGTGGTGATCTGAGAAGGCGCCCTGCAAGCAGGAGGAGAGATGACATCACCGGTGTATGCTCTCTCGAGATTTAGGAGTGTTTCTACCATCGATCCCTCCCTGTCTGTCTTGGGGCTGGTCACCGCCCGTCGGTCGGTCTGACTGTCTTGGGGCTGGTCACCGCCGGTCGGTCTGACTGGGGCTGGTATCGCCGGTCGGTCTGACTGTCTTGGGGCTGGTCACTGTCGGTCGGTCTGACTGGGGCTGGTATCGCCGGTCGGTCTGACTGGGGCTGGTATCGCCGGTCGGTCTGACTGGGGCTGGTATCGCCGGTCGGTCTGACTGTCTTGGGGCTGGTCACCGCCGGTCGGTCTGACTGTCTTGGGGCTGGTCACCGCCGGTCGGTCTGACTCTCTGGGGCTGGTCACCGCCGGTCGGTCTGACTCTCTGGGGCTGGTCACCGCCGGTCGGTCTGACTCTCTGGGGCTGGTCACCGCCGGTCGGTCTGACTCTCTGGGGCTGGTCACCGCCGGTCGGGTCTGACTCTCTGGGGCTGGTCACCGGCGGTCGTTCTGTGTGTCTTGGGGCTGGTCACCGCCGGTCGGTCTGACTGTCTTGGGGCTGGTCACCGCCGGTCGGTCTGACTGTCTTGGGGCTGGTCACCGCCGGTCGGTCTGACTGTCTTGGGGCTGGTCACCGCCGGTCGGTCTGACTGTCTTGGGGCTGGTCACCGTCGGTCGGTCGGTCTGACTGTCTTGGGGCTGGTCACCGTCGGTCGGTCTGACTGTCTTGGGGCTGGTCACCGCCGGTCGGTCTGTGTGTCTTGGGGCTGGTCACCGTCGGTCGGTCTGACTCTCTGGGGCTGGTCACCGCCGGTCGGTCTGACTCTCTGGGGCTGGTCACCGCCGGTCGGTCTGACTCTCTGGGGCTGGTCACCGCCGGTCGGTCTGACTCTCTGGGGCTGGTCACCGCCGGTCGGTCTGACTGTCTTGGGGCTGGTCACCGCCGTCGGTCTGACTGTCTTGGGGCTGGTCACCGCCGGTCGGTCTGACTGTCTTGGGGCTGGTCACCGCCGGTCGGTCTGACTGTCTTGGGGCTGGTCACCGGCGGTCGGGCTGACTGTCTTGGGGCTGGTCACCGGCGGTCGTTCTGTGTGTCTTGGGGCTGGTCACCGGCGGTCGTTCTGTGTGTCTTGGGGCTGGTCACCGGCGGTCGGTCGGTCTGGGGCTGGTCACTGTTGGTCGTTCTGTGTATCTGGGGCTGGTCCCTGTCCTTCCTGGGCTGGTCATTCTGGCCTCATGGAAAAGCCGATCTTTTTTTCCTCTGGGGTTCTGTATGCACTGTCTGTGTTCTTTTCCTCCTTTTGCACCCTCAGGAAAATGCGGCTGTTCAGTAATAAGATTTGGGTGCTGCAGGAACTGTACAGGCTGCCACTACTGACCTCCCTCAGAAAATACCGGTTGTCTGGCTGTGACTCTGGCCTGTAGGAGAGGATTTCTCTTAGAGGCAGCCAGACCAGCAGCTCAGCATTGGCCTCCGGTGTGTTGGTCTTCAGGCCTCGTATAGGAGGCCGCACAGCAGCCCTTCCCTGAACGGATGATGATCAGCAGCTGCTGTAGCCTGACGCTCATTGACTTCACTTTCTTTGTGTGCGGACATTCGTGGCAAAGATGCCGTCCCCTCCTCCCCTGTAACAGTGGCTGTATACACTTCTTGTATACAGGCTGAGCGCACCGTGATGATTTCCATCACATCCTATGGTGGCCGCTCTATAAATGGATCGCTGGGAGCTTAGGAAGCTGGCACTGGGGAGGGCAGGATTAGACCATGTCACTTGTGATTGAGGAAGGACAGGGGGTCTAAGGAACTGTTTGCGAAGTGAATGGGGGGTGTGTGCCATGTGTAGGCTAGGAGGAGGGCGCCCAGAAAAAGAAACAATAGTGGGTGTGCCATGTGTAGGCCTTCTGTCATGTCTAGGATGAGGGTCACTGCCTACAGTCCAGATCTGGTCTGATACAAATGTTATAAATGGAGTTGCAGTTCAGCGAGTACAATAAGTGTTTGATCCCCTACCAACCAACAATGATTCTGGCTCCCACAGACTGGCTATGTGCTCATGTGGTACACAGATCAGTCCTGTCAATCTAAGAAGGTCCTCCTACCAACAACTCGTTATGTGTATAAAAGACACCTGTCCACAGAATCTCTTTCCTCCATTCAAACCTCATCACCACCATGGGCAAGACCACAGATCTGTCAGAGAATATCAGGGATAAGACTGAAGACCTTCACAAGGCTGGAATGGACTACAAGACCATCAGCGAGAAGCTTGGTGAGGAGACAACTGGTGGAGCAATTATTCAGAAATGGAAGAAATACAAAATAACCCTCAATCGCCGTCCTCGGGCTGGAGCTCTATGCAGGACTTTACCTCACATGGTAAGGATGGTCATGAGAAAAGTGAGGGACCAGCCCAGAACTACATGGGAGTAGCTTGTGAATGATCTCCAGGCAGTTGGGACCACAATCACCAAACCAACCATTGGTAACACAATATGCTGCCATGGATTGAAATCCTGCCACGCCCACAAGGTCCCCCTCAAGAAGGCACATGTCCAGGCCCATCTGAAGCTTGCCAATGAACATCTAAATGATTCAGAGAAGGATTGGGAGAGAGTGCTGTGGTCACGTGAGACCAAAATGGAGCTCTTTGGCATTAACTCGACTCGCCATGTTTGGAGGAAGAAAAATGCTGAATATGATCCTAAGAACACCATCCCTACAGTCCAGCATGGAGGTGGAGACATTATGCTTTGGGGCTATTTCTCTGCTAAAGGTACAGGCCGACTTTGCCACATTGAGGGGCCAATGGACGGGGCCACGTATTGTAAGATATATGGATGAAAACCTTCTTCCCTCAACCAGAACACTGAAGATGGGTCGTGAATGGGTCTTCCAGCATGGCAATGACCCAAAACATACTGCCAAGGCAACAAAGGCGTGGCTCAAGAAGAAGGTCATGGAGTGGCCTAGGCAGTTTCCAGACCTTAATCCTACAGAATATTTATGGAGGGAGCTGTAACTTCGAGTTCCCAAGCGACAGCCAAGAAACCTGAAGGATTTAGAGAAGATCTGTAAAGAAGAGTGGATCGAAATCCCTCCTGAGATGTGTGCAAACCTGGGAACCAACTACAAGAAACGTCTCACCTCTGTGCTCATGGACAAGGGTTCCTCCACCAACTGCGAGAAATGTCTCACCTCTGTGCTGGCCGACAAGGGTTCCTCCACCAACTACAAGGAACGTCTTACCTCTGCGCTCACCAACAAGGGTTCCTCCACCAACTACAAGAGACGTCTCACCTCTGTGCTCACCAACAAGGGTTCCTCCACCAACTACAACAGACAGCTTACCTCTGTGCTCACCAACAAGGGTTCCTCCACCAACTACAAGAGACGTCTGACCTCTGTGCTCACCAACAAGGGTTCCTCCACCAACCACAAGAGACGTCTCACCTCTGTGCTCACCAACAAGGGTTCCTCCACCAACTACAAGCAACGTCTGACCTCTGTGCTCACCAACAAGGGTTCCTCCACCAACTACAAGAGACGTCTCACCTCTGCGCTCGCCGATAAGGGTTCCTCCACCAACTACAAGAGACGTCTCACCTCTGTGCTCTGTGCTCGCCAACAAGGGTTTCTCCACCAACTACA